TTGGCCAAGGGGGGATGAATAGAGATTCATAAACGAATTACTAAACTTGAAATGAAATCATAGTTATTAAATCAATTTGGGTTTCGACAAAATCATACCCAAAGATTTAATTGGGAAATTGGATGTCGAAAAGATTTTACATGTATGGACTTGTAATCGAAATAGGTTTACTCGCTATTCACTTAATACTAGATTCATGCTACTTGCTAGATGTTCCCATGATATGTGGGTTCTTGAATTAAAGAGTTAATTCAAGAATAAGAGTTAATATGAATAACTCAAATTACAAAGAGTTGTAAACCCACTACTAGTATTAATTGTAAACCTAAAAGGTCACACCAATTTTTGAATGAAGGTAAAATTCAAATAGTATTTCTAAAGAGTTAGAATTAATTGACAAATCTAATTTGATTAGATATCAATTAAAGAAATATATTAAATTAATCAATTATATTGATTAATTGAATTTTGGATATTAATTTAGTAATTAATAGAATTACTAATTAATAGTTGGAATTTAAAATTGAATTTTAAATTTCAAATCCAAATAATAATAAGATTATTAAATAAGGAAATGGAAGAATAGATTAAAATAATAAAGTCTTGAAAAATGTTTTCAAGAATTTTATTATTTATCTTTAATATGATTGAAGATTAAATATTAATAAGAATAAATTAATTATGGTGGTTTGGAGTTGTTAACCAATCCACATAATTAATCTTATTTTTATTAAAACAATAATGGTGGTTATAAACCACTCCACATTATTAGTTAAAAGTCAAATATGGTATGATTATTTAAATAAAATTTGATTTTATTTAAAATAAAATATATCAAATATTAATTATTTTATGCTAAAATGTTTAGTATAAATAGGTGCAAAATGTTTGCACATTAATTGCTAAATTTTGAGCCAAATTCTTCCAAGAGAAAATTCATTCAAAGAGTTGAGTGATAATACAAGAAAGTGTTCTTGAAAAATTTCCTTATAAATATATATTCTATACTTTTTAAAAAACCGAGTAGTTTCTACTAGCGAAGAAACTATAGTCGGAACCAAAGTTCAAAAGGTGGATATGATTAGAGGGAAGACATTTGGATTCCTAAAGTGAGTAACAACAAGAAGTGATCCTTACCAAACCGGGAATTGATTTCCTCATACTTCGTCGGTTTTGAAGGAGTTCAAGAACAAAGGTAATTTTTATAAATTAAATATCAAATCAAAATTAGTAAAAGTTACTAGATTTTAAATGATGCTTATTTGTTATCTCGTTATACTTATGTACGGAATAAGTATTTATAAGATAAATACTTATAAAATTTTAAATTCCGCTGCATACTCTGTTCCGTACAGTATATCGAACCCAACAGTGGTATCAGAGCCACGTTACAATTTGCATCTTTAAAATCAGATTTTGATTTGAAAAATTGTTAAAAACACAAACTGGAATAAAAATCGAATAGAGTATTCGAAAACACGAGTAGTGAAGGATGACACGACTCGTGCGACTGGTCGTGTGGGGTCACACGACCCGTGTGAGAAGTCACACGAGTCGTGTGACCGATTGTGTCACCTCACACGAGTCGTGTGAGGTGTGACACGACTCGTGTGACATAAATTTTTTTGAAATTTTTCATAGTCACTTTCGTATTTTTCACACGAGTCGTGTGAGTGAGCCACACGAGTCGTGTGACTTGTAACACGAGTCGTGTGGCTGATTTTTTTATCAGAAACGAGCTTTTTTGACTTAATATGAGTCATTACTACATCAACATATTAAATTAGTGAATTTATATGGTTGATTTAAAGATGATCATGAGCCTTTTATTCATAATGATGAATGATTGTATTTTTATTCAATATGATTGATGGTTGCATTTTTATTTAATGTGATTAAACGAATGTAATTTATCGAGACCTGCGAGTCTCTTGATTTATTGTTTGTAAAATTTTAAATTTTTGTATCGTTAAAAGATTAGATCAAGGTGGAGACCGTTCGATGCGAAAGGCCCACGTATATGTGGGTAATTTTACAAGTTGTAAATCTCGAAGGCCTGTGCTTGTACGGGTAGATAAAATAAAATTGTAATAGAAGTAGTTCTATTTATTTGTTTATCACGTACATAGGCATAGATCCATTTTGGCTCGATGGGTCGTATAGGCAAGGACATGATCATCCCACCGTATGCATGCATTAGATGTATGTTAAGGCTTATTTATGTTTTCGATTCATCCGAAGGATGATGCGATAAATAAACACACGTAAAGATGGTAATCGATGAGATCTAGGGAACCCTAACGAATTAATTTGATTAATTCATATCAAATCAATAATGGATAAAAATAAGTTGGAACTTATTAATCTAGGCCTTCCATCAAAAGTAGACGACATAAGATGCTACGATGCTTTATCACTGACCATGAGTCGTGGGGTGGTTTTGTGTCGAAAGCTGTGATCCCTACTAAGTATAAGAGATACTCATGAGACGGATTCCTCTTTGTGTTGACCATGAGTCGTCGGACATTCTGGTGGGCCGTTATCAAGAATGTTTGATAGGTTTGATTTGACACTGAGTAATATATACGGTCATAAAACTGAGGTATATAAGGAAAGGTGAGGCAAAACATCTTGAAGGTTGTATAGTGATACAATTGTCAAAAGTTGACTACCAGTATAAATGTTCCATGCGTACTCATAAAATTGGGATATGGAATATTTTTATTGGACTTCAAGCCCACTATGAAAATTAGATTTTCATAATTAAAATGGGGTTTTAATTAAAATAGCGGGAGACATTTAATGTTAAAGACCTAATATTAAATGAATATAAATTCCATAGTCTGGTTATTTTCTGCTTCGTTTGTTTTTGTAGATCACTCTACTAAAATGGCTAAGAATCCAATTGCAAGTATCCTTGAACAAAACAAATTAACTGGACCCAATTTTAATGATTGGTTGAGGAACCTGAAAATTGTTCTACAGTCTAAAAAGAGGGACTATGTATTGGACAAAGCCCCTCATCCTCCACCAGAGGATCAGACATCTAATGAGTATAGAGAATACTTACGTCATACTGATGACAATCTCCAGGCTTGGTGCTACATGTTAGCATCAATGTCAAATGAGTTACAGAGACAGAACAAATTGTTGAATAATGCTTCTGAAAACCTCCTTCATCTACAAGAGTTGTATGGTGATAGGACGCGGCAAATTAGATATCAGATATCTAAGGAGCTTTTCAGGTGTCGTATGACTGAAGGCTCTTCAGTTCATGACCATGGGCTAAAGATGATAGCTCTTGTTGAAAGGCTTTCGTCCCTTGGAGTCATTATGGATAATGAACTCTATGTGGATCTCATGCTGCAATCTCTGCCATCGTCATTTGATAGCTTTGTTGTTAACTTTAACATGCATAATATGGAGACTTCTCTGCTAGAATTAGTGAACATGTTAAAGACGGCTGAATCCACATTCAAAAAGGATAAGTCGGTACTTCTTGTTGGATCCACTTCTGGATCAAAGGCTTTAAAATCTAAGAAAAGGAAGGGGAAGGGAAAGGTTCCCAATAAACCCAACAAGAAGGCAAATAACAACAAAGGGAAGAACAAAGAGAAGGTTAATTCTCAGTCTAATCATGAATGTTATCATTGTGGTAAAACTGGGCATTGGAAGAGGAACTGCAAGGAGTATCTTGCTAGCCTGAAAAGTTCAGGTATTTATTTTGTTGAAGTTAACTTATCAGTTAACGATTCTTCTTGGGTATTGGATACCGGTTGTGGCTCACATATTTGCTATGATTTGCAGATGATGGCAAGAAGTAACAAGCTAGAAGATGATGAAACAATCCTAAGGATGGGCAATGGAGCAAGAGTTGCTGCCAAAGCAATTGGGACTGTTTATCTACCTTTAAATAATGATGTAAAAATTTGTCTTACAAATTGTTTGTATGTTCCGGATGTTATAAGAAACATTATTTCTATTCCAGTAATGGATAGAGTAGGTTTTAAGTTTGTTATTGAGAATGGAAGATGTTCCATTTTCAAAGATACAATTTTTATATATACCGGAAATTTGACAAATGGGTTATATACCATTACACCACAAAGTCCCATCCTAACTATTCAACAAAATAAAAGAAAATTAGATAATCATAGTTCATTCACACTTTGGCATGCTCGATTAGGTCATATATCTGAAAAGAGGATTAACAAATTGGGACCAAAACAAGACCTTAGGGGAGAGGATAGGTTGCCTATTTTTGAGTCATGTCTTAAAGGTAAAATGACAAAATCACCATTTGTTGGACAACTGTAAGCGAGCTAAAGGTCTATTGGATTTGATCCATACAGATGTTTGTGGACCACTAAATGTTAGTGCCAAGGGGAACTACTACTATTTCATAACTTTTACTGATGATTATTCACGGTATGGTTATGTATACCTATTAAGGTACAAATCTGAAGTATTTGAAAAGTTCAAAGAATTCAGAAATGAAGTAGAGAAACAAATTGGTCGTAGTATAAAAGTTCTTCGTTCAGATCGAGGAGGTGAATATTTGACCAATGAGTTTCTTGATTATTTAAGAGATAATGGGATTATTTCATAGTGGACACCTCCTGGAACTCCACAACTCAATGGGGTTTCGGAAAGGAGGAATCGAACATTGTTGGACATTGTTCGATCAATGATGAGTTCCACTAGTTTACCTCTTTCATTTTGGGGCTATGCCTTAGAAACAGCAGCACATATTTTGAATAGAGTTCCAAGTAAAGCTGTACCCAGCACACCTTATGAGATATGGTGTGGCAAAACACCCTCGCACAAGTATTTAAAAGTATGGGGTTGTACTGCTTATGTGAAGCAGTTAGTGGGAGGTAAGTTGGATATGAAATCCATCTTATGTAAATTTGTGGGGTATCCAAAAGAGTCTATTGGATACTATTTCTATGACTCTTCTGAACAAAAGGTGTTTGTTTCGAGGAATGTTGTTTTCTTAGAGGAAGAGTTTCTCTCAAAGAATAGCGGAGTCATAGAACTTAATGAAGAACCACAAGAAATTCCACAAAATACCACAAATAATATACCAGTAGAGACTAGACCATCTGTAACACAACCTCTTCGGAGATCTGAAAGGATTTCTAGGGCGCCTGAGAGGCTATACCTATTGTTAGAGAACAATGAAGAGGGACTCCTTTTGGATAATGATCCAATAAGTTATGATGAGGCAATGTCGGACATTGACTCAGATAAATGGCAAGCAGCTATGCAATCCGAGATAGACTCCATGTATTCAAACAAAGTATGGACTTTGGTTGATCCACCACAGGGTATAGTACTCATAGGTTGTAAATAGGTTTACAAACGAAAACGTGATGTAGATGGAGAAGTTAATACTTTTAAAGCAAGACTGGTTGCTAAATGTTATACTAAAAAACAAGGTGTTGATTATGAGGAAACTTTTTCACCAGTAGCAATGCTTAAATTTATTCGGATATTGCTAGCCGTAGCTGCGTATTATGACTACGAGATATGGCAAATGGATGTGAAAACTGCTTTTCTTAATGGAAACATTAAGGAAGACATTTATATGAAATAACCGCAGGGTTTCATATCCAGTAGGAGCGAGCAAATGGTTTGTAAGCTTCAAAGGTCCATTTATGGACTTAAACAAGCTTCGAGGAGTTGGAATATTCAGTTTGATGAAACGATCAAAACGTTTGATTTTCATCAGAATCCGGATGAACCATGTG